CATCTGCTTCTATCATTCTCTTTCTCTCTCTCAACAAAGTAAAAAAAGAGAAGGAAACGGTGAACAGAGGCGGTATTGATCGAGCTGAGAGAGGGGTCAGAGGTGAATGAAATGTTGATTTGACACCTGGTCTGTCTCCCTCCCTTTCTGTCTAGAGGGAGGAATGAAGGGTAAATCAAAACAGAGGGAGGCTGAGATCTCTCACTACTATTTAATGCTCCAATAGGTTGAACCTTCCCCTCTGTACGGCTGCAAGAACAGCTTTCCACGGTGTGTTTGTATGGACAGAGCGCTGGTTAAATCGATAGACAGTTGGTCAATGTTAGGAAATATGTAAATGCAAATGGTTGTTCATGGCATTAAGAAATGTGATCCTATTGTGCATGATATTTTAGTCTTGTGCGTATGTAGTAGCAACTCCAGTACTTAAGGGGGCGATAGTGATGTCTGTGCCATTTAATCAGATTTGTTGTTGTTCAAGTATTAAAGTATAAACGCAATCATTGCTTGCTCAGAAAATGAAGCCCTGCCTTGGCTGTAGTTGACATGAAAGCAACAGCGGACTGTATAAGACAATTTATGCTAACGCTTGCTAGTACGGACCCTACGGTAGACGCTATATTTAATTTGACACAAATGAAAATGAGGCTGTGAGCAATAGAAGTGAATTCAGTCAGTCCTATTTTCAGTTCACAAATTTCAGGATTCGATTCACTTCACAAGCTTACAATTCAATTCGACATAATTCATTTGTTTATATTTGATACAGTAAATGTACATTTTTCTGAAGATTTTTTTTGAAGTTGTATACGAACACACACAATTGTTTCTACTCCAATTAGTATTTTATTTTATTTTTTTAAATATAAACATTTAACCCTTGTATTATCTTCATTTGTGTCTACACTCATTATCCTTGGGGTCTCTAGGGACCCCAGACAATAACATTACATTTTGTAACAGTGTAATATATATTTTTTACAGATGTCATTTTACTCTGTTTATTAATGTTTTTATTCAACATTTGTGCAGTTTTTGGAGTATTTTTTTATATTTTTTAAATTTCTATAAATTAATGTTTATTTAAATGAGCTTTTTACAAAAAAACAGCATTGTATGTAATATTCACTTTATAAAAGACTCAGATTTCTGATTTTCATTCGTGGAGATAACATGGGTAATTTTACATGGTTGAGTGTAAGATTTTTGACAATTTTTGGGAAAATGCCGTTTTAAAATAAAAAAAAAAATATCACTTTAACCACTAGATGGCAATAGACCTCCACTATAAGCTACTTGACTAACCAAACTATATATCTTTTCACAAGTTTTTACAGTTGGATTCATATCTAAATATTAAAAAATCTAAAACTTTCTATTAAAAGTTTTTCAATAATGTTTTTCAATAATGTTACGTTATGATTAAGATGTTACAAAGAGAAATGTTGGAGTCTTAAGATTTTATCATTTATTTCAAAAAGCTGTTTTTAATATAATTCTATAATTTAAAATCAACATTTCAGTTGCGAACGTTAAAACAAAAATGAACAGAAATGAACAGTTACACCGTGTCCTAACTACACACGACGTGATATAATTCCAGCGACGACAAGTGTGTCTGTCAATCAAAAATCGCAGCCATTCAGAACAGCGTGTGGGCGGAGTCTCTCTTCGAAAGCGCACTGCTGGCTCGCACTCACATTGGAAATGGGTAAGGACATAATCAAATCAAGAAATAATGTTATTAAAAATCAAAACATTAACAAGTACAGTTGTATGTTTGCATAGAATCCATTTTGAACGCTATATTATATGCTTTCAAAATCTGAGGTACATTATCCATTATCGCTTGTGGCACAGTGACCTAATACTTCGACAATCAGTTCCTCGTCGTCCATGTTTGATGATTAAATATTCATGACAAGCAGAACTTCCATCCAATGAGATCGCAGTGTGGGCGGATCCGTCAGTCGCAGAAATAGAATCGTTTCTAAATTAGAAACTTCGCGTGGCGCCGTCGCATCTGGTTAAGACAAAAACTCTGATTAACAAGGAAAAGATACCTTTTATCGTATTCCTGTGTGTGTGCGTGTGTGTGTGTGTGTGTGTGTGTGTGTGGATGTTTTTTGCATTGTTGGAAGTGTGCCACTTTATTTCTGTCTATGTGATCTGCATTGTTTCTTCGTTGTTTCTGATTTTGATGATGAATTTTGTATATTTACTATGCAGGGTCAGGTGATCCCAAAGATAACAAGTGTCGGTATTTTTTTCATACTAACATAAAAACAGATATCATTCCAAATTTTTTTGTTTTTGTTTTTTTTTTGATCCTGCAGAGTTTAGCTTCAACTCTAATCAAACACACCTTAACAAGATGATCAACATCTTCAGGATTACTAGAAAGTTACAGGCAGGTGATTTTTTCAGGTTGGAGCTAATCTCTGTAGGAGGACCGACGTTGCCCATCCCTGATTGGGACAAAAATAACATTTTTTTTTAATTTGATCAAAAGTAATTTGCGGGTTGATAACCAGAGGGTTAAAAGGTCCTAAAAACTTGTTTTTAAAACATAAAAAACATGTGAAGTCAGGTTTGCGCACTAAAAGTGTTTGCATTCACGTATCTGCGTCGAGTACGTTTTGGGCCTAAAACAGACAAGATAATATAATATCATAAATATGCTAATGTTAACTGGACAAGGCTTAATGCGTTAACAAATGGATCTAACGGAACAAACAAAACCATAAACCCAGCAAAACAAATATAGCAGCGATGTCTGTTTTTGTGCTGGGAGGCAGGGCTCTGTACTCGGACCTTTGTTTTTCTCATCTGAGATGCGTGTCCCGAGGTGTGGTTGGGATTAGGTTTGCGTGTGCAGTTTTTCTAACCCTGTTAGGGCTGCATTAAGGAGTGAGTAATCTCTTCACACGCGAGTCCTCGCTCTCTTTCATTAGCCGGATCTATAGCACTCTGCCTCTCCGTATGAAACCCAGACCTGTCCGATCGATACGGCCCAAGGCTGCAGCGAGGGCCGAGGATGAGGACGGCGAATCCTAATTTGATGAAATACGCATTTCGGATGGGTCCGGATGCTTGCAGGGCTGGGGTAATTGTCGACAAATACATCTTAAAGGCCGGCAGCTGAGGATTGCTTTCAATTAGGGCTGCACGTTCTGTTTAGCTGTTGGTGGACCACTGCTCACCTCTCAGCGAGTGTGAGAGAGCAGAAACACTCGCACGCACACACACACGAGTCGGCGCTACAGTGTCTCGTCAGGTTATTGCTCTGACAGGCGCATTTATGATTTGGCAGAGTTTAACTGTATAAGCAAAGCTTCAAACTCTTTAATGGACTCTTAAAACATCCTTGTCTTGTTTGCTTGTCTCATTTTGTGTGCTGAAGTAAAATTGTCGGCTCATACTTTTGTTTTATTGTGTTTAAGATGACAAGGATCACTGATAGTTTTTGCACAGTGATGGGGAAGCTGCTTATGTACACTGTAAAAAAATATTGATGGTTTAACTTAAAAAAGTAAGTAACCTGGTTGCCTTAAAATTTTAAGTTCATTAAACTGGAAAAAGTGAGTTAATACAATGAAGGAGAATGATTTAATCATCAGAAACTCAAAATTATATGTTATCTGAACTAAATAAATTATTTAAGTTGATTTGACAAAAGAAAAAAATGTTGCGATTACTACACTGTAAAAAGTATTGTTGGTTTAACTTAAAAAAGTAAGTTACCTGGTTGCCTTAAAATTTTAAGTTGATTGAACTGGAAAAAGTGAGTTAATACAATGAAGGAGATTAATTTAACCATCAGAAACTCAAAATAATAAGTTATCTCAACTACATAAAGTTGATTTGACAAAAGAAAATATGTTGTGATAACAAATCTTGAAAATATTTTTTTACAGTGTACGCTTTAATTCAGATTTTTGGACAAAGTAATCTTCAGGGAAGATAAATAGAATTCAGCAAAGAATTAAAGATGTGTTGAAAACATTCATTTGTTCCTTAATTTTACAGTAGATGTATTGTGGCCTGGTTTTGCTAACTCGTTCCCTTGTTTTAGTTCAATTGTGAACATGGAGGAACAAATGAGAAATACATTACCCAGCATGCCGTCACTGCTAGATATCATCACAGAATGCCCTTTATGATGGGGCAACAGATTACAAGCAATATTATTAATTCAATTTAACAAATTAGAATTTAGTAATAAATATTCAAATTAATTCCTTAAAAGTAAACCATTTAAAATGAGTAAAACCTACAGTTAAGTCGCCATTATGGTGATCTGTGTTTGTTTTAGGTTTCTCCTTCAGTGATTCTGCTTGTTAATATCACGTGTCTTCAATGTTGGCAACTTAAAATAAAGAGTTCTTAATTAATCTTTGACGTCTGTCTGTTATTCAGATATTTTTGCTTAATTTTTTGGTGTAAACTTTACTCATTTTAAATGGTTCATAACTTTTAAGGAATAATTATTACTAAATTTAATGAACAATATTGCTTGTAATCTGTTGCCACAATTTTATTGATAAAGCGCAAGTAAATATAGCTAAAATTCTATTTACTTGTGTCATGCGGGCGATCAGAGAACCATTCATGCCATTAGCAAGTGTTAGCTTGGTAGCTAACTAACTTTTGGTCACTCCTCTTTCAAAGGGGAAATCTGAGGTTGAGAAGAAAAGGCCTTGTCAAATATTGATATACTTTATTTTAAGTTTTTTTTTACTTCCTAAAGTTGATTACAACTTTTCAGTGGAAATTAAAAGAAAACGTCTGCTTTGGTCTGTGTGGTTGAAAGGTCTTGTATTGAAGTGTGACGACTCTTTTTTTGTTAGTTTCTGGACAGACAGACTGACAGATGGTCGTTTCAGGCCAGCTCGAGTGTGTTTTGACTGGCATTTATGAAATATAAAGTGAGCCTGGGAGCGCTCGGCTGCTGTTTGCAGTGTGATGATCCATTGATTTGCTGTCTCTCTCTTCTGCAGGGACGTACGGACCAGACACAGGGTGGACGGCAGCTTTTCCTGAGTGTCAGGAGAGAAACCAATCGCCGATCAATATAGCCGACCAAGACACTAAGGTCTCGATGGAGTACCAGGAACTCACGCTGGACGGGTTTGATGTAGAGTCGTCCAACAAGACGTCAATGAAGAATACAGGCAAAACTGGTAAATGCGCACAGACACAGACAGGGATAGTTCACCAAAAATATCATGGCATCAGATATAAGGCAGAATGTCCTGGGTTGCGTTTCTCAGGCGCAAGTTGATCGTAGAGACCATTAGTTGCAATTGTTATACAATCTTCTAGGCTTACAGTGCTTTTAAGAAACTGAATGGGGTTTAAAATGGGTCATAACATTACCTAAAAATCATCTATTAAAGGAGTAGTTCACTTTTAAAACACTTTTGCTGATAATTTACTCACCCCCGTGTCATCCAAGATGTCCATGTCTTTCTTTCTTCAGTGGAAAAGAAATTAAGGTTTTTGATGAAAACATTCCAGGATTTTCTCCATATAATGGACTTCAATGGGGACCAAACGGCTCAAGGTCCAAATGAGAGTTTCAGTGCAAACTGTTCAAAGGGGTTTAAACGACACCCGACGATGAATAAGGGTCTTATAGCAATGTTCGTGACTCTCCTGTTCATCAAAATGAACAAATCTTTTTTTGAGTCATTTGGCTCATTCAATGAACGAAATGAACGAACTGACTATTTGTTCATTTCGACGAACGTCACTAGATAAGACCCTTATTCATCGTCTGGAGTCATTTAAAGCCCTTTGAACAGTTTGCACTGAAACTGAACCGTTTGGTCCCCATTGAAGTCCATTATATGGAGAAAAATCCTGGAATGTTTTCATCAAAAACCTTCATTTCTTTTCGACTGACATGGACATCTTGGATGACACAGGGGTGAGTAATTATTTTTTATTTTATTATTATTTTATATTTTTAAATATTTTTATTAGAGACTTGGTTTGGAAATGGAATGGATAAAGAATACGCTGGATTCAATGCTACAGAAACACGTGCTTTTGACTTCTATAAATGAATGGAAGTGTTCAACTCTTGTAGTTTCGAGCTCTTTCATACTTTTCCGATGCGATCTCCGCCTGAACTCCTCACACCCGAATTCAGTTTTGCTGCTCCAGTCTTGCTCCATTAAGCAGTTCTGCGGCGGAGTGTATTGAGGAAGTTTACACAGACACGAATCGCCCAGCATTTCCCTCCTTAACATAATCCGTGCAGAGGAAGACAAATGTCCCGCTGTTGTCCCATGAATAATGGAGAGCAGCTCTGCTATTTATAACTGACACATGAGTGTTTTATCAGAGAAATAATCACCTGGAACAGGGCGGCACAATAAACCTACAAACCCGGCACCTCTGAATTATGCATGACTCAATCAATGTTTTAAATCATTTTCTCTATGGACGTCAAGTGACCCTTGACCTTCTCACCTTGAGCGAAACACTCGTCCGGGAAAAGAATAAATGTGAAAAAAAGAATGTGCACTAGCCTAGCGCACTGTACAGTATATAGTGTAGTGTACACCACAGATGACTTCAAATTATTTTATTATATTAAACACACACACAAACCTAATATGAATGCTAAAAACACAAATCAAACAAGATATTTTTTATAATTATTGAAAAACATACCCAATCTTGAATCCTCTACAATCACATAATGAATCATGGTTAATTATTTTTAATATATCAACCATCCAAACCTTGAAAAGAAGCAGCATTGTAATAATTACAGCTGACATACCAGATCTTGAAATATTGTGTTGGAGGATTGTTTAATTGAATAAAAAAAAAAAAGATAAATTAATTATTTATTATAAAAATATAACAAAAACGAATTATAAATATGTAATAAAATAAGTTCAAATCCTTATTAATCCAATTTTCTATTAAGATGCCTTATTTTTAGGCAGTCGAATCTATGCGTTGTGTTGAAAACGGAAGATGATGTTCATTGCATTGTTTGGTGCGGTCTACCTCTCGGTGTGTGTTCTGGTCCACGAACTAAACTGAAATATCACCTACTGTGCACAGTGCTCTTCATGCCATATACTGCAGGAACAGTAAAAGCAGTGTGTTATTCCAATCCTAGAGGCGTTTTTGCAAGCGATCGAGCGAGTGTGTGTGTGTGTGTTGCTGGACTTGCCGATACACAAGCTTCTCACACCAAATTAAACTTAAGAAATTCATGAGATCTTGGAACCTTGAAGAAACATTTGCATTGATCAAGGATTTGCTGGCAGGCGAGGCCTAGTTTTCACAAGCTGCCGTTCCAAGGTCCTGCTGGCTTAGCCGTCTAATTCCTGCCTGTTTGTTAAAGCTCATGAAGCTCAAAGCCGGAATAGCTAATGAAACTGATTCTCCCTCTCATGTCGGATTACGTCAAAAAATCAACAAAAGACCAAACAACTGAAAGAGGAGTCGAGAGAAGGACGTTGTTTTTTCCCAGGCTCGAGAGTGTGTGTCTGCGTTTCTCCTCCGAGTCGTCGCTCGTCGTTGCCGTGGTGACGGATTCAGACTGCCACCAGTTGATTGCTTCAATATCTCAATGCCTGGACACTAGCCTGTTTCGCTAAGATTACAAGTGAGGTTTCAGAGGAGTCGTTCTCTTAAATAGGACACAAATCTCTTGTGGCAAGCGGCAAGAAAAAATCACTCGGAAATTCAATCAGAAAAAGAAATCTGTCCAACAAAGGCTGTGCTATTTCAGGTTGCGCCCATTAATTAAAGTCCGGTCCTGGTGCGGAAGACCAATTTGTGAATCTAAATGCTCTTTGACGGAAGAGCATTTTTTTTTTATGGCTCTTGTTTTATGAAATAACAAAAGGAAGCAAAAAAAGCCATTTGAAATGATCTCTTCACTATGGAAGCTTGTTTCCGCCAGAAAATGAAAAATGTAAAAGGTAATTGCGACTTTTTATCTCACAATTCTGACTTTATTTCTCACAATTGCGAGATAAAGTCCGAATTGTGAGATATAAAGTCAGAATTGCGAGAAATAAAGTCAAAAATGCGAGATATAAAGTCAAAATTGTAAGATATAAAGTCAGAATTGTGAGATATAAAGTCAGAATTGTGAGATATAAAGTCAGAATTGTGAGATATAAAGTCAGAATTGTGAGATATAAAGTCAGAATTGTGAGATATAAAGTCAGAATTGCGAGATATAAAGTCGGAATTGTGAGATATAAAGTTGCAATTGCGAGATATAAAGTCAGAATTGTGCGATATAAAGTCAGAATTGTGAGATATAAAGTCAGAATTGCGTGATATAAAGTCCGAATTGCGAGATATAAAGTCAGAATTGTGAGATATAAAGTCAGAATTGCGTGATATAAAGTCAGTATTGTGCGATATAAAGTCAGAATTGTGAGATATAAAGTCAGAATTGCGAGATATAAAGTCGGAATTGTGAGATATAAAGTCAGAATTGTGAGATATAGTCAGAATTGCGAGATATAAAGTCGGAATTGTGAGATATAAAGTCAGAATTGTGAGATATAAAGTCAGAATTGCGAGATATAAAGTCAGAATTGCGAGATTTAAAGTCAGAATTGCGTGATATAAAGTCCGAATTGCGAGATATAAAGTCAGAATTGCGAGATATAAAGTCAGAATTGTGAGATATAGTCAGAATTGTGAGATATAAAGTCAGAATTGCGAGATATAAAGTCAGTATTGTGCGATATAAAGTCAGAATTGTGCGATATAAAGTCAGAACTGCGTGATATAAAGTCCGAATTGCGAGATATAAAGTCAGAATTGCGAGATATAAAGTCAGAATTGCGTGATATAAAGTCCGAATTGCGAGATATAAAGTCAGAATTGTGCGATATAAAGTCAGAACTGCGTGATATAAAGTCCGAATTGCGAGATATAAAGTCAGAATTGTGAGATAATAAGTCAGAATTGCGAGATATAAAGTCAGAATTGCGTGATATAAAGTCCGAATTTTGAGATATAAAGTCAGAATTGCGAGATATAAAGTCAGAATTACGAGATATAAAGTCAGAATTGCGAGATATAAAGTCAGAATTGCGTGATATAAAGTCCGAATTGCGAGATATAAAGTCAGAATTGCGTGATATAAAGTCAGTATTGTGCGATATAAAGTCAGAATTGTGAGATATAAAGTCAGAACTGCGTGATATAAAGTCCGAATTGCGAGATATAAAGTCAGAATTGTGAGATATAAAGTCAGAATTGCGTGATATAAAGTCAGAATTGTGAGATATAAAGTCCGAATTGCGAGATATAAAGTCAGAATTGTGAGATATAAAGTCCGAATTGCGAGATATAAAGTCAGAATTGCGAGATATAAAGTCAGTATTGTGCGATATAAAGTCAGAATTGTGAGATATAAAGTCAGAATTGCGTGATATAAAGTCAGAATTGTGAGATATAAAGTCAGAATTGTGAGATATAAAGTCCGAATTGCGAGATATAAAGTCAGAATTGCGAGATATAAAGTCAGTATTGTGCGATATAAAGTCAGAATTGTGAGATATAAAGTCAGAACTGCGTGATATAAAGTCCGAATTGCGAGATATAAAGTCAGAATTGTGAGATATAAAGTCAGAATTGCGTGATATAAAGTCAGTATTGTGCGATATAAAGTCAGAATTGTGAGATATAAAGTCAGAATTGCGTGATATAAAGTCAGTATTGTGCGATATAAAGTCAGAATTGCGAGATATAAAGTCAGTATTGTGCGATATAAAGTCAGAATTGTGAGATATAAAGTCAGAATTGCGTGATATAAAGTCCGAATTGCGAGATATAAAGTCAGAATTGCATGATATAAAGTCAGTATTGTGCGATATAAAGTCAGAATTGCGAGATATAAAGTCCAAATTGTGAGATATAAAGTCAGAATTGTGAGATATAAAGTCAGAATTGTGAGATATAAAGTCAGAATTGTGAGATATAAAGTCAGAATTGTGAGATATAAAGTCAGAATTGCGAGATATAAAGTCCAAATTGTGAGATATAAAGTCAGAATTGCGAGATATAAAGTCAGAATTGTGAGATATAAAGTCAGAATTGCGAGATATAAAGTCAGAATTGCGAGATATAAAGTCAGAATTGCGTGATATAAAGTCCGAATTGCGAGATATAAAGTCAGAATTGCGTGATATAAAGTCAGTATTGTGCGATATAAAGTCAGAATTGTGAGATATAAAGTCAGAACTGCGTGATATAAAGTCCGAATTGCGAGATATAAAGTCAGAATTGTGAGATATAAAGTCAGAATTGCGTGATATAAAGTCAGAATTGTGAGATATAAAGTCCGAATTGCGAGATATAAAGTCAGAATTGTGAGATATAAAGTCCGAATTGCGAGATATAAAGTCAGAATTGCGAGATATAAAGTCAGTATTGTGCGATATAAAGTCAGAATTGTGAGATATAAAGTCAGAATTGCGTGATATAAAGTCAGAATTGTGAGATATAAAGTCCGAATTGCGAGATATAAAGTCAGAATTGCGAGATATAAAGTCAGTATTGTGCGATATAAAGTCAGAATTGTGAGATATAAAGTCAGAATTGCGTGATATAAAGTCAGTATTGTGCGATATAAAGTCAGAATTGCGAGATATAAAGTCAGTATTGTGCGATATAAAGTCAGAATTGTGAGATATAAAGTCAGAATTGCGTGATATAAAGTCCGAATTGCGAGATATAAAGTCAGAATTGCATGATATAAAGTCAGTATTGTGCGATATAAAGTCAGAATTGCGAGATATAAAGTCCAAATTGTGAGATATAAAGTCAGAATTGTGAGATATAAAGTCAGAATTGTGAGATATAAAGTCAGAATTGTGAGATATAAAGTCAGAATTGTGAGATATAAAGTCAGAATTGCGAGATATAAAGTCCAAATTGTGAGATATAAAGTCAGAATTGCGAGATATAAAGTCAGAATTGTGAGATATAAAGTCAGAATTGCGAGATATAAAGTCAGAATTGCGAGATATAAAGTCAGAATTGTGCGATATAGTCAGAATTGTGTGATATAAAGTCCGAATTGCGAGATAAAAAGTCGCAATTATTTTTTTCTTTTTTTCATTCATTGGTGGAAACAAGCTTCCATACTTCTCTCTGCCAAATTACCCATTCATTTGAGACCTGGCCTTCTGAGGGCAACAGTAGAAAGGAATTGTGGGTAATATTCAGCCCATGTCCCTAAGGAAGCTGAAGGAATAATCATAAATACTGAAAGGAAGTTTTCAGTCAATGAATGTGTTTAATGTACATGCCAAGAAAGTGGTCTTTATTTCTCCTTTCTCCCTATTCAGCCCTCTCTCCTTTTCTCTGCACCTCACAGTGGCCATCTTCCTGAAGGACGATTACTTTGTGCGAGGAGCCGGGCTGCCGGGCCGCTTCAAAGCGGAGAAGGTGGAGTTCCACTGGGGCCAGAGCAACGGGTCGGACGGCTCGGAGCACAGCATCAACGGCAGGAGATTCCCTGTGGAGGTGAGCCTCCGCTAATCTCTCTCCCACGTCTGCTCCATATCTAAACAGACCAGCTCCACCAACTCACAACGCCAGCTTTATTTTGCCAACTCTTTTTTAAATTACACTCTTACTTGGGACTCTGTCTTAAGAGCGCTCAAGCAATGTTTGAAGAATGCTATCCGTTTCAGACCGCCCCAGGTTTGTGATGCGTAGGGGATTTGGCCTTTGTGGCCATGATTAAAGAAAGAAGAAAAGTCTACATTAAAAAGGTGCATTGCAATAAATATATAAAGGTAACTTTTTGGGGGAGTTGCACCACATGACATTATAAGCTTGACTTGGTAGCACTTTACTTGAAGGGGTGTGCATAAGACTGGCATGACCATCTTCGTAACCATGACATGACATATGTATTGAATATGAAGTAGGGTTTATGCATGTTTGTGATAACTTTCGCTCAATAATGACATTTTGAATGCAAATATGACATTGTCTTTGTCATGACAACTTGACATTAAATGAAGTTAATCTGTCATGTGGTTGGCTTTGACATTGGCTGTCATGAGGCATTATAACTGTGTCATGAATATATCCGTGTCCTCAACTACAGTGGTACTAATTGAGTTTGTCATTCAAGAGTTATAATGTCTTCATGACAGCTATAAACATGACAATGAAACCAATAAAGCTAGGTGGTTTCTTAAGTTTGATCATTAATCTGCTATGTCATGTTTATGGCAGCTTGTGTTGTCTTAGTAATGTCATGACAAAGACACTGACAGGTTATGATGTATTGGTTTATGTCAAGACATCTCAAACAATGTGATATTTGCACTTCAAATGTCATAACTGAGCGAATGACACTTAATGACAGTTGTCATAAACATTAATAAATGTCATGTCGTGATTATGAAGGTGTCATGTCAGTCTTATGCACACCCCTTTACATGAGAACGGTCAAACGATCTGATATTTTAAGATAATTTCTGCATTGATCTTGACTGATGTACTGATGTACTCTTAAGTTTCTGCTGAGGTCCTTTTCTGTTTCTTCATATTGGCCTTGTGACTTTGATTTAGCAGACAAAAGCTGAAGCAGTTTAGACTTTTAGGACTTTTGACTTTATGCTCTCAACATGAATTTTAATTCAGAAATTAAAAACATGTTCATCATAGAAGAGTTACAGTATATTCACATCAGTCAGTGTACTGCATTTTAAATAAATGAGCAGAAAAGAAGAGCATCAGATCATTGACCCACAGTGTAAAATGAGCTTGATCTGGAAAAGCCTGAGGACGAGAGGAGGAATGGTTGGCCGTCTGGTATAGAAGTGTGTAAAGGGCGTTCCTGTATCGATTGAACAGAGCATTATGGAGACGAGCTCTCTCTCTCTCTGTCTTGGGTCTGTTTGCAGTTCTGAATCATCATTATGGCCGCCTGGCATTTCTCATGCACACTTGAGACCGATTTTATCACCCAGCCCCAAATATTCAAGTGATCAGAGTTTTGCATGTCTTTCGACCTTAAGTGCAATTAATATTGTTTGATTTTGGTGGTCGTAATTTTATTGCCCTCCCACCCAACCTAATTGAGAGAGTAATATTTGTGTTCGTCGGCCGGCATTAGCGTCCCTCGTGTTGGCAGTTTGATGTGGCTGGGTGTGATGATGTCATCACAGTGTAAATCCCATTGGCACGTCCATACTACCAGCTGTGTAGATATTGTTTTCATTTTTAATAAATCAAAACAGCACAAACGACATAGTCTAACAGATTCTTGATGGAACGACCCTTATGAGCCAATGCTTATTAGTGAATCTATACAGCACAACCAGTACACTCTAAAAAAAGGCTGGGTTGATTCAACCCAAATTTGGGTCAAATATGGACAAACCCAAATGTTGGGTTAAAAATGCAATTAAAAAAATTACAGTTGAAAGTGAAAGTTGAAGTTGGGTTAGTGTACATTTTTAACCCAACATTTGTGTTTGTCCATATTTGACCCAAATTTGGGTTAAAAAACCCAGCATTGGTTAGAGTGTACAGCGTACCCTAAAAAGGCGGATGTTGGCGTATGGTCACAAGACGTCCCAAGACGTCAGATATATGACGTCTTGGGATGAGACTGCGCTGATCTATACGGCAAAACCAGTACACTCTAAAAAAGGCTGGGTTGTTTCAACCCAATTTTGGGTCAAATATGGACAAACCCAAATGTTGGGTTAAAAATGCAATTTAAAAATTTATAGTTGAAAGGGAAAGTTGAAGTTGGGTTACATTTTGAAATTACTGTACATTTTTAACCCAACAATTGGGTTAAAAAACCCAGCATTGGTTAGAGTGTATAGTCCAACTAATACCCAATGAGTCAAATTATTTTAGTGACGCGAAACCATACACTCTAAAAAATGCTGGGTTATTTTAACCCAATTTTGGGTCAAATATGGACAAACCCAGCTGTTGGGTTAAATTTATAAATTGCATTTTTTTTAATCCAACAATTTGGTTTGTCCATATTTGACCCAATATTGGGTTAAAACAACCCAGCATTTTTTACAGTGTACAGCGTTCTCATCTAATCCTACCAATCCCAAACAACTGACGAGTATGAACCATTCCCTTTATCGGTGAATCAAAACGCCACTCCCTTCTTAGTGGATACAGCACAAGCACAAGCCCAAAGTATGCTAATATACACATTTTCAACTATCCATTGCAAGTGTTTCCTTCAAGAAAGGATAATCGTGTAGCTTCAGAGCCAAATAGAGCTGTTTTTAGTGAGTCTCACTCGAGCGATCTGTGTTTAGGTTCCTGTGATGTCTGTTTGACTCGTTTGGTCTGTCACTTTTAGTGTGTCGTAGTGGATGTGAGTTGAGCCTGGAGCTCAGAGAATGTAGATGAGGCTGCTCTTTTCACTCCGCTGAATAAAGAAAAGACAAAGAGACAGACGTAAGAAGCAGAAGAGAAACACTAGCGTTAAGGTTAACCACAAGACCGAGTTGAAGTGAAGTGTGGCCTGTTATGAATTAGTCTTCATCAGCCAAAACACACGCTCATTAACGAAACAGATTCGAGTCAGAGAGCTAATTAAGGCGATCCGCAGTGGAGCTGTGTGGTTCTCCTGGCGTGACGTCACGTGTTTTCTTCTCTCAGACACACAGCATCACCTGTGCATTACAGCCATTCACAAAAACATGCATTAAACACGAGCGGTTTCCTTATAAAGTGGTCGTGACATGATGTTGTCACGAGGCTGTAGACTGAGAGAAGAGGGCTCATTAAACTGAATTAATTACACTAATCAGAACCACTGAAGTTGTTGCTGTTGTTTTGGTTGCTATTGTGTTTTTTTATTCTCTTTGAGGGAGATTTCAAACCACAAATCTCAACTCTTAATATGCTGGATTTGAATGATTAAAGTCACTTCATAGTTTGTAACTAAATGAAACCAGAATGACTGCTGCACATTTCCAAACGCAATAGTGGTGTTTCCTTCCTTTTGAACTGATCTGGGGCCTGTACCATCAAGCTGGTTTAGGTGGCTAGTCGGGTTATGTTTCAGTTCAGTTTTCACGTAATTCCAAACTTCACGAGGCTGGCGACGACATTATGTGTTCAAATACAATCAACATGCTCCACAGCGCCACCCAGTGTTTTTAATTAGAACTGTGAGTAAGGATTGGGATTTATCACGGATTCACAGCGTTTACTTCCAGCAAAGCAACGTAGTCAAATTCAAATAGTATTTTATTTGTTCAAATAATAATTACAGATCGAACATTGTTTTACTGACATCAGGTGCTGTCATGAGAAGTGTCCCACACAAGAGCTGTGGTTTGCAGACAGTTATAAGACTTATTGTCACAAATACGTCTTTTACTTTGTGAACTCATTGTCCCTTCGGCTCAGAGAGCTTCAATACATTTAGTCAATTATTTTGTTTATTGGTCTAATTGTGGTTTCTCTTTCTAATAAAGCTTACATTGGGCCAGTCATTTGGTTAATTATATTGTGCTTCATTCCCACCCTTCTGAATTATTTTGTACTGATAAGGAGTCTTAAAAAAGGTATTAAATTGACTTCCATGATATACCCTGCTGGTGTTTAGGCCCCGTGAACTTGGACCAATCAGCTGTGAGCATAGTGTCACATGTCTGAGTGAGGCGATAAAGTCACTCCACTTGTTTCGACTCCAAATTAAAGGTCACCGCAGCAAGTGATTTTTAAAGACAAAATTTTCTGGCTTTTAGTAATGCTTATTTAAAACAATATTTTTATATGATTTAGATTTTATTTATGTAAGAATGCTACCCATTATAGATCAAACAAGTACAATTTTGTGTTTATCAATTATTATTACGCACAGTTTATATGAATATACATATATATATATATATATATATATATATATATATATATATACAGATAAAATAAATATGCTTTAAAATCAATAGATAAAGCTATGAAGTGGAGGGAGCAAGATATCTTGGCCAAAAATTAGTTAAATTAAAACAAGGAACCAAATTAGTACAACATAGACACTTTTTAATTAAAACAATGTAACTAATTAATAAAGCATGCCCACAGATTCATAAGACATGGGAACAAATTCTTAATTCACAATATCTATTTTTTTGTGCGATTGAATGTTTTATATTGACTCGCACATGAAGGCAGACATGTTGGTGAAAATCAAGATAACATGGCCACAAATTAAGAATATGTTGATCTAATTCCCTCAGTTTAGTTCAGTTGTGGCCACGATTTAACAATTCAAACGAGGGAACAAATTAGCACGACTTCAGAAAAGACAAATACGGGACGATCGTGGTTCTTTCCTGGAAAATAATGAGGGACACTCAAAATATTTGTCCTATATCACGTCATTTCAGGTTCGTACAGTAAGTGTTTAAAAGGTTCTCCGGCATAAAAACATGTGTTTTGCTTGACCTATTTACAATTTTATTCTAAAACGAATTTTAAGGTCATACAAAAAAATTGACAAAATAATAAAATAA